CATTTTTCTGTACGTTAAGTGTTGCCCTGGCAACAGGCCGCCCTACGCGGAAGCTCTTCTGTTTGACTCTAACGAGCGTCAGGAGCTCTCAGTGGAACCTCCTATACCGCAACCTACACGCTGAGAAAGAGGGCAGCGCACACCCCGTCGCTGCCCAGTCCCCACGCATGACCTTGGCCCAGCGCGGGGCTCCCCTGTTTTTTTTGTTTTGTTTTCTGTTTTTGTTTTTTGGTTCATAAAAAGGTTTAGGATAAATGTTCATGAATTCGGAAGAATGTTTGCGATTTCTATAAAAAATGAAAAAACTCGAAATTTATGAACAAAATTTGATTTTTTATGCACATTTTTTGCATTTAATTAATAAAATTTTAGTTAATGAACAATTTTTAAAAGTTCATGAACATTTTTTGAATTCGATGAAGAAAATTTTAATTTGAAAAAATGCTCACCAATTTGACAAATGTTAAAATTTCAAAACATGTTCCTAGATTTCAGAATGTTTGTGAATTTGGAAAAAGACGAATGAAAAAATAAAATAAAAAACGAGAAAAAAAGAGAAAGGAAAAAACGAAAAAGAAAAGGAGAAAAAAAATGAAAGAATAAACAAGAAAAACCCTAACCAGAAATGAGCTAGTTAGGGCGGGGGTATGCAGCGGGTCGCTATCGGGACCTCCTAATTGGCGCATCACGCACCTGTTCGCTAAGATGGCGCTCACGCACCGTCTCGCTTGGGCCTTTCCAGCAAGCGCCCTGGTCGCTCACTCCTCCCCTCTTGTTCGCTCGCTCCTCCCCTTTTCGTTCGCTTAAGCACTGAATGTTTCCTCTGAACGGTTCATGTTCCAATGTTCAACCATTGACCAGTTAACTTTGAAACAACATATGGATATAAAACAATTACGAATTTAACAAAACATTGGTAAATTGAAAAAGTTTGTCAATTCGGAGATATCGCATGAATTCCAAAAGGTTGTGAATATGAAATAAGGCCGCAAACTTCTAAAAAGCCGCAAACTTCTAAAAAGTTGACGAATTTGAAAAAGTTCATGAAATTGAAATTTTTCATTGATTTTGAAAAAAAAGCTTATCAAATTTGATAAAAATTCATCAAATTGCCAAAAACTGTTTGTCGGTGTCATAAACTTTAAAAAATTCACGTATTTGAAAGAAGTCTATCAATTTTTTAGAAGTTCATCAATTTCCAAAAAGTTCATTGCTTTTGATAAATGTTCCTCAAGGGGAAAAAAATACAAATTTGGAAAAAAGTCGTCAATTTTGAAAAGAAGTTGATCAAATGAAAAATATAAAAAAATCATCCATTTTAAGAAAAAAAATCAGAAATTTGGAAATCCTTCATCCATTTTGGAAAAAAGTTCATGAATTTTAATAAAGTAGAAAATAAAAATAATAAAGAACAAAGAAAAGGAAGCAAAAAAATGATGAACTAAACAAAAATAAAACCTTTACAATATCTGGTTCTTGAAAACCAGAAAAAAAAAATAAACGACCGAAAGCTTCCAGTGGCCTCCCAAAACCAGGTTGGGAAGCTTCAGGCAACTTCATAGCACCTGATCGAACTTCTTTCGAAATCACTAATTAAGGAGTACTCGTTACAAAGATCATTCCAATTCCCCTAGTTGCGACAAGTGGCGCACATGCAGCGCGCCACTTGTCGTAACCTGAGAGTTTCTCCTATTTTCGTAGTTCCGTTTATTCAAAACGTGTTATCTCTCAAACTGTGCGTCTAAATCTCGAACCGCTTTCACCGTTGGATTCCTCGCGTCGAGATCTTTAAAACTAGATCCCCATGTTGATAGGTTTTGACGAACTTTTTTCATGAAAAAAAAACGGACGAAAAAACCGAACCGGGAGCACCGGTTTTTTCTATTTCCCAAAAAGGCACACCCGTGTCTCTCACGAAGTCACAACCGTGCCTCTCGAGAAAGCAAAACCGTGACTCTCGCGAAAGAAAAAAACGCGTTTTTTCCCGTTTCCGAGGAGGCACGGCCCTGACTCTCGTGAAAGCACAACCATGACTCTCGCGAAAGAAAAAAAACAGAAAACATATTTTTTTCCTTTCCGAGAGGCACGGCCGTGACTCTCGCGAAAGCACAACCATGCTTCTCGTGGAAGCAAAATCGTGACTTGCGAAAGAAAAAAACAGAATACGTGTTTTTTTCCGTTTCCGAGAGACACGGTCGTGACTCTCGCGAAAGCACACCCGTGCCTCTCGCGGAAGCAAAACCGTGACTCTCGCGAAAGAAAAAAAAACAGAAAACATGTTTTTTTTTCGTTTTCGAGAGGCACGGCCGTGACTCTTGTGAAAGCAAAACCGTGCCTCTCGCGGAAGCAAAACCTTGACTCTCATTAAAGGATAAAAAGAAAACACGTTTTTCATGCAAAATAATTTTTAAATTTTTTTTTTGTTGATTGAAAAGCTAAGGAAGACCGGTGGAAAACAAAAAAAATGTTTAAGAAGCCGAAAACGCGTGCCTAAAAATAAAAATAAAAAATCAAATGGAGCGTACAGAGCGCGACACGTGGTGAATGGCTGAGAGCGCGCCAAGTGACGCTGATCATTGCAAGGCTTCCAAAAGAGCACCCGTTAACTAGTTGCTCTCAACTTCTTCGCTTCCTGGCTTACATGGGCCGGCCTGTTCGGATCGTTGTGTGCGCCTGTTTACAAAGCTTACTAAAATCGGCGCGTAAGGCGCCATATAGGAAATGTCCTCGCTATCGGGTGACCTACATGCCAAATAGACGCGTGTGGCTTAACGCTGAGAAGATGGGCCTGTCCCTGAATGGGCCGGGCCAGCATGTGGGCGACCATTCCCACTTTTTTCTTTTATTTTTCACTTTTTTGTTTTTGTCTTTTTGCTTTATTTTCATTTATACTTCCAAACATTCTTTTATTTTCCAGGAATACTTCCAACATTTCACAATTTACATAAAAACTTTTGAAAAAAGTTAAGCAAGAGTTTGAAAAATTGTAAATGTGTATAGCAAAAATGTTAATCAAATATTTTAAAAACACTAATCGAGCATTTGAAAATGTTTAGCAAGCATTTGAAAAATGTTAAATGTGTATATAAAAATGTTTGACACGTATACGAAAAATATATACACAAAAATTCTGTGGTATGAAGAAATGTTGATTGGGTATTTAAAAAAATGTTAAAATATGTTCCTGTTGTATACAAAAAACATACAACATACATTAAATAAAAGTAGACATAAAACATATTTTTCTGAAAGTTAATTCTGCATTTTAAAATTGTCAACATGCATATAAAGGTTTTGCTTATGTAAATGAAAATTGGAAATTATGTGTGAAAAATGTTTAATAGCCATTAAAGAATGTTTACTTTAATAAACATTACAGAGTAAACATTCTTTAATGTTCCTGTATTGAAAAATGTTTACTTTGTATTAAAAAAGTTAATTTCTTATTAGAAAAAAATTAAACTTGGTTTGAAAAATGTATTATATAGGTACAAAAAAATTACAGTGTGTATGGAAAAAAATAAACAGGGAAAAATAAATGTTTTCAAAAAATAATAATAATCATGTATTTAAAAAATATTAAACCCGTGTATAAAATATGTTTCTGATGTATATATGTGGTGAACAAAAAAGAAATCAATAAAAATAACAAAGAAACACAGAAACATGGACAAACCCAATAAAAATCAAAAAAGGAAAACAAGAAAACAAAAAAAAATGAAAAGCAGGAAAATCAATACAAAAGATTGAAAAAAGTGAAAACCAAGAAAGAAGCAAAGGAAAACAAAAGGTGATGAAAACCAACCAAGAAACAAAGAAAAATGAAAACAGAAGAAAAGTTTAAAAACTACTCCCTCCTTCCCATAATATAAGAACGTTTTTCAAGCTAACATAGCTTGAAAAACGTTCTGTTAGCTTGAAAAACGTTCTTATATTACGGGACAGAGGGAGTAGTAAAAACCGAGAAAGAAAAAAAGAAAATTGATAAATAAGAAAAGGAAAAAAAGCTAGAGCAGAGCGAACAACGGAGTACATGATACGAACGAGCTGCGCTAAAGAGATGTCCCTTATACACGCGTCCTTGAGGCGAGATGGGTGCTATACTCGCTATGAGTTACATATAGCATTCACGAGGCGTGTCCTTGAGACGAGACAGATGCTATACTTGCTATAAGCGAGATATAGCATTCACCAGGCCCTTTTAGATGATAAGTAGTACTAGTAATTTTTTTTGGACCAGTATTCCCATGCATCAGGGTCAGCCCATTGGACTCTGCCCCCAACTCTTTTACAAGTGATTCATCAGTATGTTCACACAACAGCAAAGGAATATTCATATTATTCATGGTTTGTCTACTTAGGACTAAAAGTAGGACCTTCAAATTGTTTTTTGTTAACATTTTAGAAATTTGTGATGGTGTCGTGCTGTCAACCATGGACGAAAACCCCGATCTAAGAATCTGGCTATGGTGGCGTTTGGAGGCATTGTCTTGAGATTCTGATAAGAGTACTACTTTGGGTCTTTCTCTAGGCAGAAGATATATGAGTCCATTTTTGAGGTTCAGGCGACTGCTAAGGAGTTGTCATTTCTGAGTTCTGAACCATCCCCTCTTAGCAACTTCTTTTTGTGTAGGAACCTGTATTCGATTATGCCTTCGTCTTTGGATGACCGAGAGGACGGCAAGCTAGGGACAAGCACGGCAATCTTCCGCCGTGACAGAAGCATGGAAGTTTCCAATTTTCCATGCTCGTGTCACTAAACTTGATGTTGAAAACATTCAAAGTTGCCATATGCTCGTACAGTGTTCTCTACTTACCAGATTCCTAAAATCAAGCATTAGAAAACGCAAATCTGCATACAAAGTTTTTTTCCCATGCAGATATAATAAAAAAAATTAAAATGCAGTAAGTCAGACATGAAGCACATATCGTTTTTCCTTGTTCATGAAGTACAGAGTCTCAGCTAGAGGTGGCGATGTTTTTCTGAACTGAAGCCGCTATCAGTTTGCACTTGCTGCGGCGTAAGATCTGAGGTGCTCGACAAATTCATCGATGTACCTGCCGTGGAGCTCCGTATCAGCTACGACCGCCTGTATCTTTGCTGCGCCTGCCACGAAGCCCCTCCTGGCCTCTTCCTCAACCATGACGGCCCGGACGGCGGTCGAGACGCCATGGCGGTCGAACGACCCGTCGTCCTCGTTCCTCGCCACCTGCAACCCCACCTGCTTCGCCTCCATCTGCCGCGCGTTCGGCCCTTGGTCGCCGTAGATGGGCAGCATCACCAGAGGGTGCCCGAACAGGAGGCTCTCGATCAGCGAGTTCCGTCCGCAGTGTGTCAGGAACCCGCCCACGGCCGCGTGCGCCAGGATGCTCATCTGGGGAACCCACCCCGTGGTCACCAGCCCGCGGCCGCTGGTGCGGTCCTGGAAACCGGGAGGGAGCATGTCGGCGCTGTCGTCGTCGGCGGCGCCGCTGGGCTTTCTCAGAGCCCAGAGGAAGCGTGTCCCGGCGAGCTCTAGCCCGAACGCCATCTCGTGCACCTGCTCCACGCGCAGCGGCACCTCGCTTCCCAGTGCGACGTAAATAACGGAGTCGGGCGGTTGCGCGTTCAGCCACTGCTCGGTGGCGTGCTCTTCTCCTTGGGCGGCGGCACGGCGGGCTCCCTCGGCTGACGGAGGCAGAAGGCCGAGGGGAATGACCGGCTTGCCGAGGAGCGTCTCCGCCAGAGGGAAGGTCTCGGGTTCCCACTCGATGCAGCTCCGCATGGCCGCTACCGTGCTCCCGTCTTTTGTCAAGATAAAGCGCTGGACGACGGACATACCACCCGACGACGCGCCATGGCCAGTGGTAAACGCTGCATGCCCCTCCCGTTCGTAACGGGGCACAGCGCGCGCGGCCGCGGCTCCTGGCTGTTCAACCACAGAGGCATCGGGGTCGGGGTGCACCGACGGCGGGCGTTGCGCAGCGGCGATCGAAGCAGCGGTCGGCTGAAGCATCGCCAATGGCACCTGGTGATCGATGGAGCTAGATATGAGACATGCATGGAACGACAAACCAGCAAGCAGGTAGCCGTATTTCGTGGATCTGGTTGGATGACCGAACCTTGTGCTCGAGGGCGGCGGCGGCGGCCCAGTGGTGGAAGCAGTCGGCGACGATCCAGTGAGGCCTGGTGGCCTCGTCGGCGCACGCGGCGGCCAGGAACTCCGCGAAGGGCGCGGCGAGGCCGTCGAAGGCCTTCCAGTGGAACTTACGCTCGCCGTAGGAGATGTCGTTGGTGGACTCGGCCCGTCGGGGAGGCCGTCGACGCGCGGCAGCGGGAGGGCGACGAGGTCCACGCGCGGCGCGGCGGCGGGGCGCACCGGCGGGAGGCGGGCGAGGTTGCGCGGCGTGGAGACGTAGCTCACGCTGTGGCCCCGCTCGGCGAGCCGCTCGGAGAGCTCCAGGTACGGGAGCAGGTGGCCGAACGCGAGCCACGGGACGACCACGACGCGCAGCGGCGAGGGCGAGGAGTCGGCTTCCATGGCGAAGATCGGGGAGCGTGCGTGGCGAGATGAGACGGCGGCTCTGGTGGTGCTGACTCTGAATGTTTGCACCGCCGACAGGGCTAAATTTGTGGTAGTAGTCGGCATATGCCCATAACTGGAAGCGAAGAGGAATTTGAGAAGGTAGACGACGAAAACGCGCACTGTTGGTACGTGGTATACTACTGTGCGGACGCCAGGGAAGAACTCTCACGCGCGCGTGGACGTCCGACGTCCGTGCACTTGTGCCGACCACATGGGATCGGGCCCACCAACCCAAGCATGCAGTAAAACAGAGAGAAAATAGGTAGAGTACTGTACTTGGTATAGTACTACTACTGTACGGGGAGATGTCGCGAAATTTGCTTTTGGACCTCGGCCTCCAAACTCAAACTACAAATTTCATCAAAATTCGTGTTATTACATTTCAAAAAATCCAGAAAAAAAATACAGATATGCATGAAGGCATAACACACATGTGTGTTGATTTTTAGGGCAAAATACGTTGAAATGAGGGCCGTGCAAAAAAAAAAAACAAATATGAAGCTTTTTAACACATGATACCATGAATTTGTCTTTTTGTACATATCGCATTTCAAGGTATTTCATCCTATTCCCGCAAAAAAAGGTATTTCATCCTAAAAATTTATACACATAATATCCTTGTTTACTTGCACAATGTTTTTCAGATTTTTTTTGAAACCGGAAAGTTTGAATTTAAAATTTTCGAGCTCCACTGAGCTCGGTGTTCAAAATGACGTTCTCGAGATGTCGTTTTTATACTTTCATATAGTATATCGGCAATATTCTCTAAAATAATTGAACCCGTATTCTCTAAATTTCTTAGTACTATGAAAACTAGTTAAGGTTTACTTCTCGAAGCATTAATCTGATTGACAACCCGTTTCGTTGTGACGAAACCTTTGATACTAGATCTCACGTTGATATAATTTAACGAGTAACTACCAAATTTTAATGCCACTTATTCGCTAGCTTACAGTCATTTAGTTAACGTAGATTATAAACAACTTGATTACCAAGTTACGAATGTCATTCTCCAGTTATGTAAAACTTAGATTACACCACTTTTGATGAACTGTCATCTTTTACTTGTTGATAACATTCCAAACGCGCTTGCCAATTGGGGCCCTAGGGGCTCCCGTGACCCATGTTTGGCTGGTGTTTTGGCCTTCTTATTCCATGAAGCATCATATTTTTCTTTTCTTGTTATGAATTTTTCAAATACCTGTAATCAACATCACGAAAACACAAGACTGACCTTTCTGGCATTGGGTCGACATGTTAGTCCAAAAAGTAACAAAATATTACATAATAGGGCAAAATATAGCATGGAACATAAAAGAAAACTATAGTACGTTTGGTATATATATCAACCTCTCTTCCATAACCAACCAATATTCCCTTGTTTATTCAACTAGATGTCCCTTCTCTCCTACTGAGATCCATGATGTGTTCATGGACATATACCACTATGTGATCCTTGGCCTGGATGGTTTTGCGCCCTCCTTCTTTTTGTACATGTTGGCATATAACTAAGGACAATATGCTTAGTCTTTTCTCCGATTTCTTTCACCTCCAAACTGACATGGCTAGCCTATTGAGCCCTAATTGTCCTCCTCTAGAAAGACTCTAACACACACTCTCTCAATGCGTTTTGACCCATCTTGCTCTAAAATTTTCCTATTAAAGGGGTGCCTCCCACCGGCGCTGATGCGGATCTTCCTTGTCTCTTGTTGCCTTAGGGTCATGGAGGGTGGTGGATCCTGACCTTTGCTGGCGGGAGGGCTTCGTTTTTTGATACTTTTTCTGAGTTTTCTTAGGGTTTATGTCCTTCCCAGAGAGACGTGACGACAACGGCTCTCTGAAGATGGAATAAGGTTCTCCCCGCCTAGCCCCCATTCCGGTGATGCCTCTAGCGTCATCGGAGGGCTTGTGGAGGTTTGTTTCCGGCGGATCTTGTGTGATTTGCTCGGCGTTTGTCTTCACTGGATCCACATGGATCCGGTATTTGTTCGTCTGTGTTCATGTGTTTATATGTTGTATCCTTCTGAACTAAGCTTCTCTTCAATGGCGGCGGTTGCTGTTCTGGTGCGCTGGTCCTATAGGGCCTTAGCGTGACGACTTCCCAACTGTCTACTAAAAATAGTTCCGCCCGGCTCAAGTGAGGGAGGGACGATGATGGCGGTGCGTCTTCGGCTCGCCTCATTTGTAGTCGTCGCTAGGTGGTCTACGGATCCGGATGTAATTTCGTTGTACTATCATGATTGATGATGAATAGATTTGGTCGGCATTTGTCTTCGATGGATCCACGTGGATCCGGTAATTTTTCATGTATCTACAAGTTAGATCCTTCTAATCTAAGCTTCTCTGCAATGGCGGCGGTTGCTATTCTGGTGCACTGGTCCTATAAGGCCTTAGCATGACGACTTGTCGACTGTCTATTACAACAAGTTCTGCCCGACTCCAGTGAGGGAGGGGCGATGGCGGCGTGCCTTCGGCTCGCTTCAGTGCTTGTAGTCGTCGCTAGGTGGTCCACGGATCCAAACATAATTTTTATTATTTCTGGTATTCATTGTAGTATCCTTATTGATGATGAATAGATTGAAAGTTTACCGCAAAAAAGGGGTCACTAAGGTTCTAAATAGTCATCCCAAACTCCTAATCCCTTAGCTAGCAAGCTCCAATCGAAAAGGCTTCCTCTCTATAAAATGTATGTTTGAGAAGTTCCAATACATTGCCAATCTCTTATATTATTGTCACAAAACAAAGTCACTAACTATAGTTGTTAAGCTAGATTTTAGGAAAGCCTTCAACTTTATCCGTTGGAATTCACTTCTCAAATTACTTTGAATTTGGTGCTTCCCCACACAATGGTGCTCATCAGTGGCGGACCTAGAAAATAGTATTGGGGATGCGAAACATCAATACGACGGTGCTAAATTTGGGGAAATTACACTAAAAATAGTATAATTTGGGTTAAACATCATTGTAAATACAACAAATTGTCCAAAACTAGTATTAACTTATTAGGACATTAATGTTAAGTATACCATATACATTATTTTTCATTTTTGTAGGGGGTGTCATGGGTGCCATGGCACCCACACTAGATCCGTCACTGGTGCTCATGGATAGAAGAAGTCCACACTGGCAAAATCTCCATCCTATTAGACGAATCCCCCGGAACGTAGATTCAATGCAAAAATGGACTTTGACAAGGCGATCCCCTCTATACTTATTTGTCAATAATTGTCGCTGATTTCCTGTATAGAAGATCAATTTTTCATGCGATAAATGGGACACCCTCGTCCATCGTAATAATCCGTATTTTTAGGGTTATTAATTAAATTAAGACAAGATATAGTAAAATTCACATAATCTCATATAAATAGTAATTAGTAACATCTGGAGCGTGTTTATTAAAATATAATTTGCAACTTTAAGATAGAGAAGTAATTAACCATACTCCTTGAGCTTTGCATGCATGTAGTTTCACAAAGGAAAACAATTTACTTTCTTAAAGAAAAGGAGAACAATTTACAATTAGTACATACATGTAATCGTGAGAGTGAGAGAGGCAACGTGGCATTACGGTAGATGGAATTGGGTTCTGTTGGCCAAGTAGAAACGATGTTCGAGAGTGTTTCTCCATGCGTGGACGCATGGCACATGCGTTGCTACCTTGCTGGCAGCACACGAGCGGCTAGCGGCCCCAAGTTCTCTCCCAGACCAGTGCATGCATGCCACGTAACAGGGCATTGTTTAAGTGACTTTTTGCTTTAAGGCCCTGTTTAGTTCATAAGTTTTAGGACTTTTTTTAATCCCAACTTATAAGTCACAAGTCCCTAAAAAGTCCTTACCTGTTTAGTTTCCGGGACTTATAAGTCCCTATAAAATCATATGACAACTATAAGTCCCTATAAGTCCCTTCTTTTAAGAGTCTTATTTCATAAGTTCCAAATGCCCACTTTAAGTCCCTATAAGTCCCTCATGTTTGGTTTAGATGGGATTTATAAGGACTTTTTTAAATCCCTAAGCCAATAAATCCATGAAAACAAACACTCTCTAAGCATCATCGAAGTCAAGAAGAGCCAAGGGTACACGGCCATTGCGTCTTGATATTTAGCCGATCACGTCATATAAATATTTTTTTAACACAATAGAGACGCAGAAGCTCATATATACACACACTCATCCCTATAAACATAATTGAAGAAGTCGCCGTAGACGTCTTTGTAGTCGACGAAAACGTCTCCTACTACTGAATACTTGAAACAAATCTAATCTTGAATTATTTCTTAATAAATTCAATCCGGAAGGCTTTTTAGCTGAACATAAGAAGAAAATATGAGCATCAACGTCCCAGAAAGAATTATTCATTGTCTAAAGACTTGCAAGGAATAAACTCACAAAGATTGTGTGGGGGCTGACATGAATATCAGAGAACGTTACACCATCAAAGGTATTAATCGCCAAAATCAAAGCCCAGATAAAAAGGCGAGATTGTGGGACACGATAGTACACACAGAAACAAGGAGGGATAAGGCCACCTAAACCTCTATACATGCTATGTTGGTGTGCTAATTGAACATGCATTCCATTTGTGATGGTTAGATCCTAATTAAATTGATTAGTGAGATAACTAAAGTGGATCCATGAGATATGCGGGTGCATAATCAAAGTAGAAGAATGCACCTTTTCTTAAAGAAGTTCAGGAACAATGCACACATTGCATGATGTAATTCCATCTATGATAGCTTCCTCTGATTATGAAGGCATGTATGGATACATATAATATTTAGCTAGTACGGATTGAGAGATTCCGATTAAGGGCCTGCGTGAATCATTAAATCCATCTGACCGATGATTAATTGTTTCATTATCTATATCTACATCAATATAGAAAACCCAAAAGGGCAGATCCAATTAATCTTGGCCATCAAATCATATCAATCCAATGACCTAGACTGCTTCAATGTCTAGTGCTCCATACGTTTAGCGTGCAGTTAATTTCATGCCATAAATAATGCTAATCACATAATAACACGCAAATAATATTCTACTTAATATTCGCACACACTTAATAT